AAAAAAATCCAGTAAATTATTATCAATCCCAGGAAATCCTGTACTATAAGCCAAAGATCGTGAGACAAATTACAAGAAATCCTGTAAAGTAAAAGTCATGAGAGGAATAACAAGATTTCTCACACTGCACACAGGGCCTAAGGGCTCCTGATCTCAGTATTGAGCAGGAGAGAGAAAGTAATTGCCTTCTTGCCAAGATGACTAGGTCAGTCATTGAGTTCTCACAGCTTCCACTTTTGCTGCTAATGTCATGCCAAAGAAAGATGCTATCAGTATTGTCAGGTATCCGGCTACCTTGGTGTTCAAACATTACTGGTCACATCAACACTGTAAAGCTGGATGCATACAGAGGGTGACAGCATTCCCACAGAGATGCAGGTGACTTTGGACTATCAATTACAAACCACCAAACACACATACCTAGAAAGACCCCAGAAGGATATCTGATGGAGGCCTTTGGAAACTGAGAAAGACTCACTGCAATTGTCCTGTTCCTTCTAAGTGACTTGAAAAGATGCAAAACTAAAACAGACATCTTGCATAAAAAAGAGCAATATATTCTTGGAGTACAATTGCAGCCATGGGCAGAATTCACTAAACTGCACTGCTTCCAATTTCACAGGTCCACTGAGACAGTGATATAGAGCTAACACAAAATGAGAGCTAAAAACTTCTTCCGTCTGCAACATGTACTCACTTGTCTCAGACCATTATAACCATTCAGTCATTATAACCCCATACAGCCCCGGACACATATGATTCCACTTTCATCTCTTCCACACCTCATCCTCTCTGTTCTCCTCAGAACACAGACCCCAAATGGCCTTTTTCGCTATGGTTTGCAGCCACTGAGTACAAGCCTTGCTGTACTTGTTTATGTTGACCAGCATCTCACTACATTATTATGGTTATGACAATCCCGGACAATGCAGGACCTGGCAATCCAGGACAATGGAGATCTCAGTTTCTAGCATGCCCGCCATGAGGTTTCTTCAAGGATGTATGAAGAGTACTCACTGCAGTTCCCTGCAGTGTGACTACTCAGGCCAAGGGAGATATGGCACAATGACATCTAGGGCTCCATGCATCATTTGGAACCATGCTCCAGCTTGTTTTCTCACACCTCACCCATACTGTTCACTTATCAGGACTAACACTATTTTTGATGCAGGGTATTCTACCAGGGAAGCATCTATCCATAAGGTAGCAAGGAGAAGGTAGCACATCTGTTAGTTGACTACCAAGGTAAAGTTTGTCTATCCCCAACACCTAGAATTCAAATGAATAGTTGAATTACAGACAAGAGGGTGGTTGCTGGGATAATACTGTGACACAGAGTCTTCAAAAGCTCAGCTGAAGGAACAGACCATTAAAGCCACGACGCAAAATACATTTAAGAAAAAAAAGCATTTACATTTCAGAGTGTCCCACATCATCAGTAGTGCTACATAAGCAAAATAAGTCGGCAGTAGGGACTATGGGAGCAATTGGCCTGAGAAAATCAGACCAGCACGCTGTTCAAAACAAAATTATGCAGACATGAACTATACACCATGCCAACCCTATAAAAAGTGTGCATCAAAGCATTTAAAACTTATCTATGGTCCTCATAAATGTCAAGGAAATAGCATCCAAAAAGCCACAGCACACACCATTTCATTCAATGATACACAAGCGTACACATATACATACAAGTGAGGTAGATATTTATGCTCCGCACACCGTTATGGCAAGTCATACACATATAAAGCATATGAGTGATATAAGGCTGCAGACAGGCAGTCTTACACCAGAGAATGGGTCGCCAGATTACCTGCTTAGAGACACTCTTTTAGGGAGGGTCACACGATATGTCCAAAATACACCAGGCTTCTCCTAACATAGCAATTATGCAGAGCAATTCCAATAGTAAAAATATTATTAACACCAAACTACAGTCCCCTCTCTTGCATTCCACCGCAACTCCAACACTCCAAAAGAAACTGAAAGACAAACAAGAACCGAAGAGGATCTACTTCACCTGAGTAAGAAATTATGGCTACAATTGCAAAGAAACCCAGGTGGAGATAGGAAAGCCCAGTGCTAGTGAAATCTACAACAGCAAGGCAGCAGGTGAAACGAGTGTAATACCGTGGGCAGGAGGGCTCCCCAGAGGACATCAGCCATCATTTGTGTCCTTCCCTAAAAAAGCGACAAGAAAAGAAAAACGAGAATGTTTGCTATATCCATGGTCAATACCTCCTTCGTCCAGCTCATGCTCCCCCTGTGGATCCTAGGCACTGACTGAAAATTCATTTGTCCCACAGAGGATCCTCCTCTCACATTTTTCCCACCACCACAGCAAGTTACCATGCTCAGGCTCAGAACACACTACAGCTGTTACTCCATTTCTTAGCACTAGCACTGAAGGACAGTGATCCTCACCACAAACAAAATCAAATCAAACCACTCCCTTCTAGGCCTCCTTAGTGCAAATGACATGGGGGGGCAGCATGGACACCTGTGCCATGGATGTACAACATGAGAAAACTGCGTCAACATCGTGAGAGAAACCTCTGAGAAACCTCTCTGGGAGGCAAGTTTCACATCGTTCTCTCATGAAAGTACAGAAAGAAACACTGTGCACATGCACTTGCTCATTATTAAGATCTTCCTCAACAACAAATGTTCATAGTCTACCTCAGGCGGATCAAGACACACAAGAGGGTCGCCTAGCCTTGCAAAGTCCTCACTTAGACTCCTACTTTGCCTAAATACCTGCAGTCCTATTTCCCTCACACTGATTACAACAGTTTTAAACAGCGCCCAAACAAAAGGGCGTGCTCCAAGAGGAGAGGGATAACATCAGTGAGCGACTGACACTCATTAACGGGCAATATGTATAATGAGCCGCTCACAAAGAAAACATCGCTAAAAGCACATTTACATTTGTGAGAGTGCCGCACCGTCTTAGAAAGGAAATTTGATGGGCAAGAGAGACCTTCGAGGCAGTTTGTGGGCTTCACATCGTTCTCTCATGAAAGTACAAAAAGAAACACTGTGCACATGCACTTGCTCATCATTAAGATCTTCCTCAACAACAAATGTTCATATTTTACTTCAGGCGGATCAAGACACACAAGAGGGTCGCCTTCCCTTGCAAAGTCCTCACACAGGCTCCTTCTCTCCCAAAAGGCCTGCAGTCCTATCTCCCTCACACTGATTACAATCGTTTTAAACAGGTAGCATACAAACAAAAGGGCGTGCTCTAAGAGGAGAGTGATAACATCAGTGAACGACTGATGCTCATTAACGGGCAATACATATAATGAGCCGCTCACAGAGAAAACACTGCTAAAAGCACATTTACATTTGTGAGAGTGCCGCACCGTCTTCGAAAAGAAGTTTTATCGGCAAGAGAGACCTTGGAGGCATTCGCAGCCATACACTGATGTAAAGCTCTACATCTGCTTGTGACTGGCCGGCAACGCGAAAGAGGCGATAGAGAGAAGGAAAAGAGAAGGACCAGAACTCCTGAAGAAGGACAAAGGGGAGCGGCGGCGCAAAGGAGGAGGGGGAAAGTCTCTCTGTCGGGACTCACCAGGAGGGCGTCTCCGCTGTAGCCGTCGCCGCGGGGGCTCGAC